TAAACAGCAAAGTGCAGGCCAAGGGACGGACACACACACACACTCTCTCTCTCTCTCTCTCTCTCTCTCTCTCTCTCTCTCTCTCACTCACTCAGTGCTGGCCCTCAGTAGGGGGCGCCGTTAGCAGTAGAAGCAGCTGTCCATGGTTCTGAACCTGGGTGTGCTAATTCACCATCTCATGGGCATGACTGCAACCTCACCTCTGATCCGGACAACAGAAGCAGAGGAGGTCAAATGTCCTAATACCCTCTTGGGAACCTAACATGAGTGAACACCAGGTAGCTGTTGGGGGATCATCTAAACCCAATGGCTTTAAACAGGGCCTGTGGCATCTGCAGATTATATTTCTGTGCTGTTCCCCACAAAGATGTACCATGAAAGTCATAATACAGGAAGCAGAATGCATCAGGAAGGCCGTGTGAGAAGGTTACCATGGTCCCCGGCAGGTCACAGAAAGATGAGAGAGAGGTGTGCCGACCTGCCCCAGGTGTGGCACACACGGCAGTGGCTTGGTGAAGCAGGCATGAGCGAGGCCGACAGGGTCCATGCTTCGGTGAATTCAGAACGCATCACCGCATGCAGGTTGTAAAACCTCTGTACAGTAGGGAGGGGCTGATGGACAGGACTGTATCACAGACAGAAAAGCCAGACCTCGTTAGCTCCCCACTGCCCCCAACCCTACCCCCAGGGGATAGTCACCCGCTAGCACTGCAACATCTTCCACCCCAGTTATTCTCTGCACCATCAGCCCTTTCAGAATTAAAGGGAAGAGCTGGTAGGCTAGCAGCATCATTTACCCTTCACAGCCTCATCTGCCTGGTGTTCCTGCCTACCTGAGTGAGGCCAGCTGCATGATGCTGGATGTTGAATGGCACCTGCATCATCAGGGGCTTTTCCAAGGATGAGATGTTGTCCCTGGGAACCCAGAGAGGGCTGCATTGCCTGGCAAGAGCAACGCCAGTAACTGCCTTATCTGTTGCCAGACAATATCCCTCCAAACTTCCAGAAAAAGGGATGCCAGGCTGCTGCTGCAGCTTGCCAGCACTGCTGGACGCAGAGCTTGGCTGTTCTCTGTCCCTTGTGACCCACTCTGTGCCTCTCAGCAGGAAACCCCAGAACCACTGTGGCTTCTCATAGCATGCTGTACTTCCCTTCCCTCCTCTTCCCCATCTTCTTGCAGCCTGTCCAGTTGCCTGGTAGGACCCTTGTTAGAAAGAGCTCACAATTCCAGGCATAATTCATAAGCCAGACTCTGTGTGCACACCAGGATGCACCATCTTGACAGCTGCCAAGAATTCTACCCAAACACGAGTTCCCAAGATCTGCAGGGTAATGTCTGGGGCCAGGTCCTAGCCAGCCAGCTACCCTGTGCTTAGAGAGCAACATCAGGTCCATTGCTGTTACAAACAGTGTTTAGGGAGCACACTGTGGGGGTGCACAGACAGGGGTGATGCCTGTGCTCCCAGGCTGGGCCCACCATGCTGCCTCCTTTTGGTAGATGGGTTTTTCTCTAGAACCACCCATGTGAACACAAGCGTGCTCCTTGTACGGAATGCTTTTACCCTGCTCACTTCCAAAAGTGAATGAAAAAGCTGAAAACCAAAGATTGCGAACTTGAGCCCCTACAGAGGAGCTGCTCTTAGCTTTGTCAGGGTCTAGAGCCCCCTGCCCGCCGTGGTCCTGGTAAGACCAGCACCAGAACACACAGTGCCAGGAGGAAGAGTTTCTCCTAATTGGTGCAGGAAGATTGCTAAGGGAGAATTAGCACCGAGCTTCCTGGCAGCCAAGAGGAAGGGGGGAATCTGTGATGCCATCAAGCACTCTGAGGGTGGTCAGTGGGCACAGACTAGCCCCAAAGAGGGATTTTCCTTGTTGAGCCTAGCAGTGGACACTGCTAGGACCATGGAAAATCAAATCACTTCAGTATGCTGTTGCCTCCCCCAGGTGGCCTGGAGCAGAGCATCGCCTTTCCTCTGGACAGAATAATTCTAGTGCAGGTGTGGCGGTGTTGAGTGGACTGGCCAGGGAGTGGACCTTAGGGTAGGAGCCTCTGAAGCCAGGCCTCTGCTGCACAGTGCCAGAGCAAGGGTGTCCCCTGAAGGCCTGCTGTGTCCTAACCCTTGGACCTCTGGGCCTGCAAGGGGGCATCATTCAGGTCACACTCCCGGAAGACGGCTAGCAGGCTTTGTCTTCCTCCTGAAACCAGAGCCTGATTTTCTCCCCCTGATAGTGGGCAAAGGGGTAACTGGTGCCAGGTCACAGGCAGGTGCTAGGGCGAGGAGAGGGTGTGCAGGTTACTCACAGCCTGCTTCCCCTGCAGAAGGTGGGCTGTGATGGGGTGATCGGCTCCAGCAAGCAGGAGGACAAGTGTGGTGTGTGCGGAGGAGACAACACCTGGTGCAAGGTGGTTAAGGGCACGTTCACACGCTCCCCCAAGAGGCACGGTGAGTCCCGCCCCTGGGTCAGTCCTGTCCTGGCAGAGGTGGGGGAGTGGGGAGCAAAGGGAGAGGGCCCCAGGTGACAGGGCAGAGAACAGACCTTAGGAAGCTCTACTGGAGTTCTGTCTTGCAGCAGGCTCCTCCCCAGCTGGCTTTCAGCAGCACTTCCCTGGGCTGCTAGGTGACCTGGAAGCATGGAAGGTCTGACTTCTCTGGCGCCTTGGGTAGGACTAGGTGTTATGGATCTCTCACCAGGAGAGACAGGCTCTGGGGTGGGTTTCTGTCTTTGTCTCTTGCATTGTTGTCACCACTGTCCAGACTTGGGCACCATGTGAGTGAAGAGGTTTATTTGGATGTGACCTGGGTTCCTACAGGGCCTAGACCACATGAGGTGGAAAGGGTGGCACTGAGTGGTAGAGGGCCCCCAGGCCCTGACCTGACTGACTCCCACCAGGTCCCTGTAGGTCCCAATACTTCCTAACCACCACCACCAGCAGCAGCACACAGGGCCCTTCCAGATGTGCTCAAACCACACTCATGCCTGGGGCTGTGCCTCCACCAGGCCTCAGCTCTTTGCACAGGCCAGCAGCTACCAACTGCATCCCTCTGGGCCTCCGTCAGCCCACCTCTGAAATGGGGAGAAGCCACTTTAGTTGACCTCTTTGAGAATAAAGTGATAGAGTGACCACGTGGACCTCATCCTGTACCCGGTGCTGGTCCAGGTCCTAAAGACAGGGGCTGTGGGCTGGCCTTAGTACAGCCCTACCAGAGGTTGGATGTCTGATGACACGTGCAGAGCAAGTGGCTGAGAATTACACAGGTCACGTGGAGTACCCAGAGCCTCCCTCCTAAACATGGCAGCTCTGAATCCCTGCCTGGAGGAATGCAGCCTGGACTCCCCACTGTGTTTCCAGTGGAAGAGGCCAGTGGGGTGTCTGGATCTGAAGACAAGCAGAGGGGCTGGAGCCACTCTCCCTTTGGCCCCTCTCCTGGTGGGTGGTCAGAGCCCACAGTGGGTGGGTGGGGCTTGCCGACTTCTCACTGGGCCTTGTCCTCCTGCACTTGCACCAAGGCTACATCAAGATGTTTGAGATCCCTGCGGGAGCCAGGCACCTGCTCATCCAGGAGGCAGACGCCACCAGCCACCACCTGGGTGAGTCTCGGGTTCTAGACAGCTCAGCCTGTGGAGGAAGCAAAGTGTGGGGACCAGCTGAGTGGTGCATCGCAGACCCAGGCAGCCCTGCTCACCTGCTGGCCCAGAATTCCTGGAGCCTCTGCCTTCAATGAGGCCAGGATCTGGGACCTGAGTGTCAAGGCACGAAGGCATGGAGAGCTCCTCATGGCACACACAGCAGTCCCAGGGCGCCGAGGCCAGCCTGGGGAGAGCTTCCATGCTCTACTCTGGTTGTCACCCGTTTCCTTTTAAATTCCGAAGATTCTGGCTGACACGGGGCTTCCTGGCACTATGGACAGCATGGCTGTTTCAACAACGGCTTTAACAACCTCCCCCATGCCAATCCTGCCTGTGAGCTGGTGTACTCCACCTCAGTGGGGCCTCCTCCCTCAACCCCCAACCAAGTGTTAGTCCCTCTCTTATCCCTACTGCCCTGGGCCAGGGTCTTCCAAACTGTGACCTTGAATCAATTCCCGTTCCCCCACCCCCCCCCACACACACCCACAAATAAAAGAAGCAGCTCTCAGCACATGAGCTTCCGGGTCAGCCACTCGAATGCTTAATGTTACATCATTTTTCTATCAAGAAAAGGCTTGTTTGCTTAAGTTTTCACTGACAAAATGCTTCTGTGTTGTTGCAGTTTCCAGGTATTTTCATTTTTTAAAACAGAATATGGTGCAAAGCGGGCTGCTGGCACTGATCCCTTTTTTGAGGGCCTGAGGCTGTCTCCACACTTTCTAAACAATGGCGTCTACAGCGCCACGAGTATCTCTGTGCCTTTGTTGTCTGTGTGGGGTCACTGGGTCAGGGAGCATGGACGTTCGGGGGTTCTGCTGCCTCTCCAAGGCCTCGCCAGCAGGCACCATCCCTGAGCCCTGGGTGTGAGAGCTGCAGTCAAAGGGCTTGCTTTCCTGTTCTTCCCAACACAGCCCTCTGAGAGCCGCTGGCTGAAGTGTCTGCACAAGGACTCCCCGGAACTGGAGCTGGGAGGAGGAGTGTGTTTCCATGGACAGTCCTCATCCGACATGGAGGAGTCAGACCCTCCCTTCAGTCAGGAGCTGCCCAGCAAAAGGTGCCAGGCTGTACCCAGTGCCCTCCAGGAGGCTCAGGTGGGGACTGATGAGACAGGCGCTGCTTGCTGACACAGGGATGCTTGCTGAACTCTGTGAGCAGCTCACACGGTGACATCAAGGGGTAGGGGCTTAGGGGTGTTGACCGGGGCAGGAGGTTTACACTGGCGAAGCAGATACTGCAGACTGCACAGGAGCTCAGCTCTCTGCAGACACCGCCTGAGGCGCCATGGGAGGTAGATGGACCAGCCGTGGGGCAGAGCTGCCTGGCAAGCACAGGACAGCCCATCTGCCATTGGGCTGCAGCTGAGTGGCTGCATGGAGGCTCCCTACCTCCTGTGGCCAGCCAGGTTGCCAGGGAGGCTGCGGGGCACTGTGCTGGCAGGACTGGACTATTGACAGCACTTTCCTCCCACCAGGAAATGGAGCCCGAGTCGGCCCAGCTGTTGCACAAACGTGACATCCCAGACTTGGGCACTCCCAGGGGCACCTGGCCACCCCAGAAGGTTGGTGATAGGGAATATTGCTTCCACTTTGCTCCCAGTGATCACCAAGCACACACAGAACTGTTGAAGTATGAGCTTTTTACCCCCCAAAGCTCAGCTTCCTGTTCTTGCCTGTGTGGAGCCAACTCCTTTCTCTGCCTGCTCCCTTCGCTCCCTGCTCATCTCATGAAATTAACTCAGCCAAAAGGGCATCGTGACACCCTGGGGTCCACTGAGGTTGGCCTGGCCTCTCTGCACACCCTGCCACCCTTGCCCTCTCCAGGCTCATGCTCCCTTGCTGAAGGCATTCAGTCACTTGGTGTGTGTTCCTGCTCCCAGGAACCCAACAGGCCCCACTGCACATTTAGTGCTGCAAAACTCAGATCTTGCTTTATGCTGTCATCAGTGTGTAAAGAGCCCTGCCAGAGGCCTGCTGACAGGGGTCACCTTAGCATAGATCTGCCACGGCCAACTTCACCTCATGCAGGCCTCCAGCTGGAAGCCAGAAGGCCAAGTTCAGATTCTGGTGTTGTCAGGAGTAGCTTTGAGACCTAAGTCAGCTTGTGGCTCTGAATCTCCCAGTGACAGCAGAGCCTTGCAGTTCCTGTGTGTGATGTTCTTGTCAAGTCTGTTTTGTCTTGCCCTCTTTCTCATTGTCTGGGATGCAGAGTTGCAGCGACCCACTCTGAGGTCCTGTGAAGTGGTAAGCCTAACTGTCAGGACATCTTTGGTTGCTAAGCAGGAGCCACAGCAGGGGTCAGGGGTCCTGGCCAGACTAGGTCCCAACATGTGGCCTTAAACAAGCTCCTTGTCCAAAAGATATCCCGGCACCTTCCACGTGCAGAGCCTAATGCGAGGGAGGGGCTGAGGCCTGAGGGGAGCTCCCTGACTTTCCAGGATGTCTGCTGGGGCACACTCTATCCTCCTGGAGGGTCTGCCATAACTATGAGTGGTCTCGATGTCTGACCCCTTGCCCACACAGATGTCTGGACAATGTGGTCAATGAGCAGAGTACTTCCCCACCAGTGCCACACCTCCATGCCTTGCTGACCAGTGGAGACGAGCCTCCCACACAGACAGACATCTTTGACCTCCTCAAAGCCTCCTATGAGGTCAGCACTCAGTGGGGAGGTTTGGGGGGTGACAGCCCTGCACCCCATGGCTGTGCATTGTCTCACCTAATCATCCCCACCTGCCTGCAGAAATTCAGCATCCTGCGGGCCAGCGACACTGAGCAGATGCGGTTTAAACAGGCTGAGAGTGATCCAGTGCTTGGAGGACACAGCCAAGAGGAGTGTGGTATGTGGGCTTGGGGGCTCCCACTCAGGCCTGTCTGTGGGGCAGGACGCACACTCCCCTGCTGCCTCACCACCAGTGTCAGCATTAGGATGTGTGGGACCAGGCAGGGGCATGGCGGGGAGAGGACATGGTCGTTTTATTCTGCTCCCAGATGGGCCAGTGGGAAGCCTGTCTGAAGCCCCGTTCCCCCAAGGCATAGCACCCTCTGTCTCCCAAGCTCTGCCACATGTCCCTTCCCCTCGCCCCGAGCATCCCACAGCTGCCCTCTGAGCACCTGCGTGCCGTGCCTCTGCCTCCAGCCTTCATCCTCCGCATCCCTGGATGGGTGCAGGTGCCCCTGCCACAGGATCTACTCATGGTCTCTTGACTGCCAACCTCGTTCCCACTTCCCCAGTGCCCCCCACAAACCTTTCAGACACTCTGAGGTCACAAGTGACAGAAACGGATGGCTCCAGCTGACTGAGAGCAGCTGGCTGGTGGTTTCAGGACCCCTTCCCAAGAGCTGGCACCTGGGTCACAGCAGAGGTCCAGACAGGAGGAACTAAACAATGTCCCATGTCCCCCACTCTCAGCCCACTAGGGCACAGACCTCAGGGAGCTTGCACTGAGTGGCAGGCTGGGTGGTGAGAGGCCAGCAGGGCAAGGCCCTGCCCTCAGTGGGATGGCCGACTTGCCATACTGAGGGGCAGCTCGTGCCTTTGCCCTGGTCCCTGTGACAATCTGTCTCCTGCTGCAACAGGCACTTGAGAGTCCCTCAGCCCAGCCTGTCTCTTTCTTCTAGGTCCGAGCCATACCTGGGGACACTGGCTTCTCCACTGAAGAGCTGGAAGACCTTTACATGGTGTTTAAGGTAAGAGCCGAGAACAAGGACAGGACCTGTAACTGTGACCTTGTCTTCCAAGAGCATCCTCAGCACAGAGGTTCCTGCTGGAAGAGAAGGGGTTTGGAAGCATCCGTGCATGCACTTGCTGTGAAGTCGCAGTGGTAGAAGTTAAGCCTTGTTGGAGTTTAGGCAGAACACTCCCTTAGAAAGCACAAGGCAGCTTACAGCAGAAGTTCATGGGCTCAAGGAACTGCAGAGTTGAGGGAGACAGTGTCAGGCCTGGCTGGATCCAGGGACTCAGATGCAGTGTTGTACACTCTCTCACCCTCTGACGTTCTCTGAACTGCGCTTCCTGCAGAGTCCATGGCTGTCTGCAGCTCCAGGGACACGCTATCCCCTCAGTAGCCCCAGGACAAGGGAACCTTTCTTCCAAATGATCAGACTGACTCAAGTTAGGCACTGGATTCAAGTTAGGTTGGCGTTGACTGTTAGGCAAAAAGGAAAAAAAATTAAGATTTATAGTCTAGTGGCTAAAGTCCTCACATTGTATGCACTGGGATCCTATGTGGGTGCTGGTTTATATCCTGACTGTTCCACTTCCCTTCCAGCTCCCTGCTTCTGGCTTGGGAAAAGCAATCAAGGATGGCCCAAGGCCTTGGGACCCTGCAGCCACATGGGAGACATGGAACAAGCTCCTGGCTCCTGCCTTCAGATCAGCTTAGCTCCAGCCAGGGAACCAATGGATGGAAGATCTTCTTCTCTCTTTCCTTCTCTCTGGTAAATCTGCCTTTCTATTTTAAAGATATACACATCTTAAAACTATGCTCCAAAACAAAAGTGAGTGCCTCCAGGGGCCTGACCCTGCCTTGGCCTTTTCCCATGGCATCCCTGGCCAGTCTGTCCTTCCCTCCCTTGTGGGGCTGGGGCAGCTGGCCGCAGGGAAGGCTGAGCTGGCCTGGCGATACTCTGAGGAAGCCTGGGACTGGCTCCCGGGCCCTCTGCAGCTGTGAGGAGGTCCTGTCCCAGCCCCCTGGAGCCTGCACCGTCCTGGGGAGCCCCTCTCATCATGCCCTCCTCCTGCCTTCTCCCACAGGCGGGATGTACCACGGGGACATGACTGAAAAGCTCAAGGTGCTCTATAAGCTGCACCTTCCCCCAGGTGAGCACGTGCCCCCACACCCCTGGATTGTATGAGGCACTGATTGCACTTTAACCTGAAAGACACTGGGTGTTTACACACTCACCTAAGAATCAGAAAGTAGCAAATAATCCAAGCCAGTCAGCCTTAAAACTGCCACACGGGTCATGGTGGCAGGGGGAGGGTGGCCAGGATGGTCAGGCCAGTCCAGCGGGAAAGGGCAGGTGCGGTCTGCCCAGGAGCTGGGATGCTTGCTCTAGGTGAGACTCTCACTCTACCCATCTCGGAGTGCAGCCCTAAACTCTGAGGAAGCCGAGTCAGCCCTGGAGGCCACCCACTATTTCACGGAAGACAGCTCCTCAGAAGTGAGTGGCTCCCTGAGGCTTCCAGCTGGGGGGCTGGGGGCATTGGGGTGTCCTGAGAGGGGTCTCAAGCTGGGGCCCACCCTGGCTTCCTGCAGCCAGGTGTCCCTGTGGGCAGGCAGTGATCTCACTCCTGTTTCTCTTGTGTCTGTCTTCTTGGATCTCGGCTCCTCCTCCCTCTGCCCTCCTGCTCCTATGCTGTCCTCCCAGCATCTCCTCTGGCCTCTGATCTGGATCTTTTCCTGCCCTGGGAGGCTCAAGGTCAGTGCCCGGAGCACAGGAAGGCTCCCTTGGCTTTGGGTGGCAGCATCCCCTCACACCCCCATCCCCACTCCTGTCCCAAGGCCCCCAGGCCTGGCAGACTCTACCACTGGCACGTGTGTCCTGCTGTGGGGTGGTTAGTAGGTGAGGACATGCACAGGGCCATGGGTCAGCATAGGCAGAGGAAGGAAAAGCAGGGGTGGTCACTGCAACCGCGGGAAACAGACCACAGGGACCAGGGGAAGCCGGGCACGGCAGGGCATATGCTCTCCTCAGAAAGCACAAAACACTGCTTTGTGGAGAAGAAATACGGATGTTGAGCCGTTAGAACCCATCCTTATCCTCAGGCTGCATTTAAAGTGTAAAGCACAGGCTGCCAAGTGCCTCCTGGACCCCAGGACTTGATGACACGGCTGGCGACCACTCTGTGCTGTGACGTCATGTGGCAGGCCCAAAGGGGAAACAAATAGTGTGTGTGTCGAAGGACCCACAGGTCCTGCTGACCGTGAAGGCTTAGCTCACGGACCCGGAGGGCCTTGGCTTCCAGTAACAGGCCAAAGCAGCAGGTGTGCTTCCTGTTACACATGGACCCTGGGCAACCTGGGAAGCTTTAAGCTTGTGCTGTGTGCTTCTGGGTGCAGAACCCTGACCTCAGACCCCACAGCACCCCAGGCCCTGCACTGTCACCCATGCTCACTGAGGCAGTTGAGGGCTGGGCTACTTCTGTCCTCGCCTGTCTTCTGGCAGCAGGCCTGGGAGACCAGGGCAGCTTGTTCCTCCCCAGGTTCATGTTCACACGTGAACCGCACAGTGTGGTCCTCCTCCAGCGGATGTGCTGAGCACAGGGTTCATGTCTGTCAAGTTCCTTCCCTCCTGGTGTAGCTGTCATAGGTGTGATCCCACGCAGGTGACCTTTTCCTAACGAAACCACAGGATTCATCAGTTCTCAGGCTTGTCCATCACACCGCATTGCTGTTTGCATATGGGGGAGACTTGTAGTCTTCTGGAAAAAGAAAACAAAGAAGCAAAAACGGAGTGGGATACAGCTGCTGCTGCTTTCAGTGATCAAGTGGGGAAATGCCCAGGCCCTCCTTGACGGTGCCGGAGGGCAGAGCTCAGGGTCAGGCCAAAGCAGGAGGCTCCGTGCAGGGAACCAGAACCCGGGGCTGCTCCCGCACAAGCACAGGCTGGACCTCGGCAGAGGTGGGCTGCAGTCCCAGCTGGAGAAGAATGTGCTCCATGTTGTTATTTCCTGGTTGGCAGAGGCACTACCACAGGAAGATCGGGAAGGAAGCAGAAGCGAGGATACCCAAGAAAAGCGAGCAGGTACAGGCCATTCTCAGGGTCTCAGGGCTGAGGTCTGGGGTTTCATGTGGGCTGTGACCATCCCCAGTCACTTCTGCAAAGCTCCCCCACTGCCTGGCCCCAGTTGACAGGCATGCCCTGAAGGTCAGTGACCTTGGCTGGAGGCCCTGCTGTCCCCTGTGGTGCCTGGTGTCCCCTGTGAAGCTCTCAGCTCCTCAGGCCAACCTCTCACAGCCTAGAACACAGCCTCAGGACCATCCTCATCCCATTGAGCCATCCCTTCTTCAGGGCATTCTCCCCATCAGCACCTCCCCAGATGCAGGTGCTTTGTAACAGGGCCCATCCCACCCCCTGACCCCAAGCTCAAGCCCTTTTTCTGTCATGACAGGCCGAGATTAATGTCTTTTCCTCCTGACTCACAGAGGAGAAGGGGACCAGCCCCCCAGACTACCGACTCTACCTTCGCATGTGGGCCAAGGAGAGAGGCTCAGAAGGAGACCATCAAGGATCTGCCCCAAATGAACCAGGTGGGCCAGGCTGGAGGCTGCAGCAGACACCTCTGCAGAACCCTGAGGGACACCGGGGCCCAGCATGCCATGTCAGCACCACGCCCCAGGGTCCACACAGGGTGGCACTCATTACTCACTAGCTCACTTGAGCGCCCAGGAGTCCCAGTGAGGATTCTGGAAAGTCAGGAGCTTGTTGCTCAGGGGCCATTTGCACAGGGACCGCTTGTTCAGGTGGAGGGACAGTGGTAGGTCTGAGCAGCCCTGGGGAAGGTTACCCCACAGCTGCTTCCTCACACTCCCTGCCCAGGCACCCTGTGCACACAGGCTTGTCTGCTCTCCACTTCCTGCTCTCTGGGGACAGCAGCTTCTTTGTCTTCCCAAGGGTCTCCCAGGCAGGAAGGGGCAACCCCTGGGTTCAGCTGCAGAAAGTAGCCAGAGGCAGTCCCTGAACTACAGCCTGCCCTTAGTGCTTGGGCTGGGCTGGCCCTGGCTATGCCCAGAGGGGCCCTGTGAGCCTAAGCCTTCTCCAGCCTGAGGAATGGGTGGTCTCACCCCTCTCTCAGGCCAGGATGTGGTTTAGAGACCCAAGACCACCCTCACCCCCTCAGCAGCACCCTCTGGGAGCTTCCCTGAAGGTCAGAGTTGAAGTCGCTTTCACCCAGGAGCTAGAAGGCCAAGGGTGAGGCCAGACCCCAGGGAGGAAGCCATGGTCAAGGCCGGGTTCACACAGCCATGCATCCCCAACAGCAGAACCACATGTCGGAGCAGAGAGCCCAGCTCAGAGCTGCTGTCCACTGCAGGGGGAGAGCCCGGCAGGGCAGAGTGACTGCTTAGGTCCCTCCCGACTCTGAGCCTCCACATTCCCGTGTGTGAAGTAAGACTAGAGCACTAGTCTGGCGCCGATAAACAGGACCACATCCTGGCACCAGTTCCAGTGGCCAGCAGCATGCATGGAATGAACACCAGGGCCATCTTACCATCTCCTTGTTCTGCCTTCCCCCTTGATAGGAGCAATTCATTGAGCTGTGCAAGACGCTATACAACATGTTCAGTGAGGACCCCCTGGAGCAGGACTTGTACCACGCCATTGCCACAGTGGCCAGCCTCCTCCGCATCAGTGAGGTGGGGAAGTTCTTCAGTCCGAGTGTCAAGAAGCCCACGGGTGGCACTCCCAGCAGGGACCAGGGCAGTTCCACCGAGGATGAGTCCCCACTGCCAGCAAGGGAACCCCCCTCAGGCCCAGTACAGGAACTCTAGCCGCCAGCCATGGGGCATCCCCAGTCACCAGCAAGGGAACCCCCTCAGAACCCAGTACAGGAGTGCCAGCCATGGGGGGACCCTCAGTCACCTGCAAGGGAATCCCATCAGGACCCAGTACAGGAATGCCAGCTGACAGCCACGGGGGACCCCTGGACCAAAGCTGGTGGAGACACCCACCTTGGAAAAGTGCCACAGGAGAGACAGACGGTGGTAGAGGGGGGCAGTGGAGAGGGGCAGGGCTCACCCTCCCAGCTCCCGTCTGATGATGAAACCAAATACAACATATCCATGTCCTCCTACTCAGTGGTCAGCATGGGCTCCCTGCAGTGTGAAGACCCCACAGCCACAGCCCGCATTGGGAACACCATGGACGCAGACTGGTGCATCTCCTTCAAGCAGATCCTGGCCTCCATCCTGCCGGAGTCTGTGCTGGTCAACTTCTTTGAGAAAAGGGTGGACATTGGACTCAAGATGAAGGACCAGAAGAAAGTAGAGAGACAGTTGAGTGCCTCCAGTGAGCACGAGCCATCTGTTGCTCTGGGCTGAGCCCCTTGGCTGAGTGATTCTGGCCGAGGCCTCTGTCCCTCCCTCCTTCCCTTTGCAGTTTCTCATTAAAGACACAGCCCTCCTGCTCCCCCTTGGAAGCAGTGAGTTGTAAGTGAAAGGAAGGCTGATGCCAACACAGCTGCCTTAGAAAGAGTCTCTGGGCCTGCATCCCCTAGCACAGGCCAGTCCTGGGAACCAGGAATAAGTGGCAGCTCCTCCATTCCTCTCTGCCTGTGGCCTGGGAAGGCAGGAGAGGACAGCCCAAAGCCTTGAGACCCTGCACCCACGTGGGAGACCTGGAAGAAGCTCCTGCCTTCTGGCTTTGCATTGGCTCAGCTCTGGATATTGCAGCACTTGTTGAATAAACCAGTAGAAGAACACTTCTTAAAACAAAGTGGATGGGGCCAGTGCCACTGTGTAGTAGACTAAGCCTCCACCTAGAGTACTGTCATCCCATACAGGCACCAGTTCATGTCCTGCTTGCTCCACTTCCAATCCAGCTCTCTGCTTATAGGAGGCACAGCAGCCAACACATGAACTGACACCCATATGGGATCCTGGCACTTGCAAGGTGAGGATTTAGCCAGTTGAACCATCACACTGAGCCCCCAGATGCTCCACTTCTGATTGAACTTCCTGCTAATGGCCTGAGAAAACAGTGAGGATGGCCCAAGGGCCCTGCACCCACATGAGAGAACTGGAGGGTGCTCCTGGCTCCAGCTTCAGAGTAGCTCAGCTCTGGCCATGATGACCACATGGTGAGTGAACCAGTGATGAGAAGGGGATTTTCTCTCTCTCTCTGTAACTCTTTCATGAAACGGGGACCCTTTGTACTGAGCCCAGACACAAGGATGTTAGGGTCTTCCTTTTGTCTTTTCTTCTTTCTTCCTTTCTATTCTTTTAGAAAGATTTATTTATTTTTATTGCAAGGTAAGAGATACAGAGAGGAGGAGAGACAGAGAAGAAGACCTTCCATTACATGATTCAGTCCCTAAGTCACCACAATTCATGAAACTATGCCGGAACCAAGGGCAGGGGTGAGAAGCTTCTTCCAGGTCTCCCATGAGGGTGCAGGATCCCAAGGCTTTGGGTTGTCCTCGCCTGCTTTCCCTGGCCACAAGCACGAAGCTGGATGGGAAGCAGGGTTGCCAGGATTAGAACCAGTGCCATATGGGATCCTTACGCATTCAAGGCGAGGACTTTAGATGCTAGGCCAGCACGCCATGACTCCTCCCTTCCTTTCTTAAGATTTATTTATTTTCATTGAAAAGGCAGATTTATAGAGAAAAAGAGGCAAGAGGAAGAAGGTCTTCCATCTGCTGGTTCACTACCCACGTGGCTGCAAAGACCAGAGCTGAGCTGATCTGAAGCCAGGAACCAGTAGCTTCTTCTGGTCTCTCTCGCAGGTGCAGGGTCCCAAAATCTTGGGCCATCCTCCACTGCTTTTCCCTCACAAGCAGAGAGCCAGATAGGAAGTGGAGCAGCCGGAACATCAACTGGTGCCCATATGTGATGCTGCCACCACAAAGTGGAGGATTAGCCTGTGCAGACACAGTGCCAGCCTGTGTAAATAAGTCTTTTTTAAAAATGAGGACATGGGACAATGTGTGGTAAAGCAGATAAAGTTGCCACCTATAACACTGGCATCTCAAGTCGGCACTGGTTAGTGTCCTGGCTGCTCTATTTCCAATCCAGCTTTCTGCTAATGGCCTGGAAAAAGGGGTGGAAGATGGCCCAAGTGTTTGGGTCCCTGCCATGTAGATGGGGGACCTGGATGAAGCTCCTGGCTCTGGGTTGGCCCTGGGTTGGCCCAGAGCTGGCCACTGCAGCCATCCAGGGAGCAAACCAATGAATGAAGGAATCCTCTCTTTTCTCTTCCTCTCTTTGACTTCAAAAATAGATCTTTTAAAAAATAAGAACAGACTGTTTAATAAGTGGTGTTCAGGAAACTGCCTATTTAAGTAGAATGAAATCAAGTTAGATGTCTACCACCCATGGTTTTCTCCCCCTCCCCACCAAAATCTTATATTTTATTTACTTTCTGTTTTTGATGAGGATGATTAAATATTTCTGAACATAAGCCACCTGAATCCCAGCTGAAAGCTAGAGCCACTGCTGGCATTCCATGAAAGCCAAGACTGCAATGAGGATCCTGCTATTCAGTCACTACTTTTTTTTTTTCAGGTATCAGCCAGCGAAATAGAAAAGAGAACATACTAAGAGGCATGAAAATAATGATTATGGGCCTGACGGCGTGGCCTAGCGGCTAAAGTCTTCGCCTTGAACGCCCCAGGATCCCATATGGGCGCCGGTTCTAATCCAGGCAACTCCACTTCCTATCCAGCTCCCTGCCTGTGGCCTGGGAAAGCAGTTGAGGACAGCCCAAGTCTTTGGGACCCTGCATCATGTGGGAGACCCAGAAGAAGTTCCTGGCTCCTGGCTTCGGATCAGCATAGCATCGGCCATTGCGCTCACTAGGGGAGTGAATCATCAGATGGCAGATCTTCCCCTCTGTCTCTCCTCTTCTCTGTATATCTGACTTTCCAATAAATAAATATTTTTAAAAAAAGAAAAAATGATGATTATGTGTACATTGTTGATCATTATTTATGGTTAATAGTATTTATACTTATCTTTGACCTGAAAATAGGAAAGCAAATGAGAAATGACTCAAAACAGTAAGGAAATCTAATACAGTGGGTGCAAACAAAACTAACACAATCTCCACAAGTTAATGTGGCTTTTATATAACAAACAACTAGTTACATGGAAGACCCAGAAGAGCTCGTGGCTTCAGCCGGCTTGCCTGGCACAGCTGCTGCAGCCAGATGGGAAAGGAAGCAGCAGATGGTAATCTGTGTCTCCCTCCTTCTGTCACTCTGCCTGGTAAAGCCACAAAACAGCAGCTTTGAGCTCTGTCTCACTCAGCCTTTCCAGAAGTAGTCATTTCTGGAAATCGGCAGATGTGGCTCTGGCACAATGGCTCAACTGGCTAATCCTTCACCTCCAACTGTAGCATCCAAGTGGGTTGATGTCCCAGCTGATTCACTTGCCATCTAGCTTCAGGCTAATGGCTTGGGAATGCAGTAGAGGATGGCCCATAGCCTGGGGCCCCTGTACCCATGTGGGAGACCTGCAGGAGGCTCCTGGCTCTAGACTGGCTCAGTTCTAGCCATTGCAGCCATTTGGGGAGTAAGCAGTGGATGGAGGAGCTTTGTCTCTTCTCTCTAGAAATCTGATTTTCCAATAAAATAAATAAATCTTAAACAAAACCTGCAGACACACAACTACTGGAAAGGAACTCACTGGGGAGCAAGTGAGAGATGGTATGGCGTGTAAGATCTCTACAACTGTATGCTTCTGTCTGCCGTCTATTAAATGATGAAACAGTTTGATCCTTCCAGAGCTCAGCATTCTAGGCTCTGTAAGAGGGAAATGCTCCTGAATTCAGGGGAGGGGCTCTTGCAAAGAAATGGGAGAATGCCCGAGATGCAGATCTACGGCTGCATTATCCTCCTCTGGGTTCGAATCCTTTTTCAGAGAGTTGAAAATGACCATGAGAACTGCACTACATTATCCACGTGCAGCAACTTAAACATGCAAATAATTTCCATTCCATCAACCCTCAGAATACACTGAAATAGGGAAGTAATACATGGGCTCAGCTCAGGCCGTTGCTATTTGGGGAGTGCACCAATGGACTTCTCTCTCTCTCCTCTAGGAAACTCTTGTCTTTCAAATAAAAATAAAGTGGCTTTTAAAAAGATGTATTTCTCTTGGGCCCAGTGTGATAGCATAGTGATTAAAGTCCTCACCTTGCACATACCGAGATCCCATGTGGTCGCTGGTTCTAATCCCAGCGGCCCTGCTTCCCATCCAGCTCCCTGCTTGTGGCCGCAGAGGGCAGAGGAGGATGGCCCAAGTCCTTGGGACCCTGCACCCAGGTAGGAGACGCACAAGAGCTCCTGGCTCCTGGTTTTGCACTGGCTCAGCTCTGGCTGTTATGGTCGCTTGAGGAGTGAATCATCAGACAAAGGGTCTTCCTCTCTGTCTCTCTTCCTCTCTGTAGATCCCTTTTGAAAGATCGCATTTATTTTTGTTTAAAGGCAGATCTACAGAGACAAGCAAGGACGGAAAGAAAGATCTTCCATCTGCTAGTTCATTCCTCAAGTGGCCACAACTGAACTCATCTGAAGTCAGGAGCCAAGAACTTCTTCCGGGTCTCCCACATGGGTGCCGGGTCCCAAGGCTTTGGGTCATCCTCAACTACTTTCCCAGGCCACAAGCAGGGAGCTGGACGAGAAGTGGAGCAGCCAGGACTACAACCGGTGTCCATAAGAGATCCTGGCGTGTGTAAGGCCAGGACTTTTGACAATAGGCTACCGCGCCAGGCCCATAAATAAAACTTTAAGAAGAAAATTAAAAATCTCTTGAGGCCCTAAAGTAGTTCTTATCTAAAATGCCTAGCTTGTAATACTAACAGATACCCACTCAATAGCTGCATCTGGGGGGCAGGGTAAGAGCTGTTTCTCTCAAGACACTGGCATCATGGGGAAAGCATTTGATACAAAAAGTGCTTTTACCCCCAAAGTCTACTGGCTGTTTAACACACATCTTACAGAAGTCGGTCTTACAGATGCCAGGACACAGCCGACCAGCACAGGACCAAGAAGGGGTGTCCTTTAGAAGGACACAGGCAGCGCCAGCCGGCAGGAGAGGACAAGCTGTGAGGCTGGTTGGGGCACAGGTGGAAGCAGAGCCCCAGGATGTGGTGACAGGACGCCCATGGCGGGGAGGGCTGCTTCTCCCATGAGAAGCCTGAGGGGCACTGCGGGGTCCCGGGATGCCACCCCCACCCCGCCTGGGTCCCACAAGGTTCCCCAAATGTCACTAGACTTCACCAGAGCCCGCCTCTGCAGAAGCCACTACTCCCCCAAACCTACAACAGAGAGGCCGGGACGACGCCGGAGGGACGCGACCCCACACCACACCTGCCACCCGCGGGAGGCCGGCGCCCAGCCCACCTGGTGCGCTTGGAAGAGGCCGCAGCTGCAGCACCTGAGGACGCGGCAGCGCTGAGGCGGCGCCATGGGGCCTCCCACCCAGAGCCTCCCGCTCCCGCGCTCCCCTGCGCCCTCTTCCGGCCGTGCGCCTGCGCGCTCTGCCGGCCCGCCCCGCCCCCACAGGCCTCTGCTGGCCCAGGGGCGCCATCCCCACTTGAGGGGATCCGGAGGTTGTGGCTGCCCCAGCTGCACTTAGGGCCTTGGGTCGCAGTCAGCCGTTCACGGACTTGGCGGCTCTCCCAGGGCATTTCCTCCGGGTCGCGGTTGCCCATTGCTGTCCTCTGCGCAGGATCGCCAGGGAACAGAAGA